TATATATATATATATAAGGGTATAGTATTATTAAACCATTATATGCCGGTGTCGCTTGGTCACCGGGCTCTCTACAGGGCCCCTAAATCCGGGGGGGCCCCCAGCACGAGCGCTGGGCCCCCCTCCCCATTAAGAAGCCCCATTATCGGTGCAGAGCCTCTCTTGCTTACAGCAGCAGCAGCAGCAAGCTGCTGCTACTGCTGCTGCTGTTGCTTCTGCTGCTACTGCTGCTGCCGCTGCTGCGCAGCGCATGCGCATGCACTGCAGCAGGCATTCCCTTGGGGCTGTTTGATATAAAAGATAGCAAAGGAAGACACTCGGATAGCATGCAGCCTAGCAAAGGGTAAAACATAAAAGAAGCCACTAATGGGGCCCCCCAAAGGGTACAATAAAGGTACACTACATGGGGCCCCCGATGGGGCCCCCCACTGGTGCCCCTATAGGGGGGCCCCTACCCCTCCCTCTTAGGAGGAAGGGGGCCTCTAGTAGACTTTGTCCGTCTGCCCACCAAAAAGACTGCTGACCGCTAGCTGTTGTTTGTTTCGGTTGTTGTTGTTGCTGCTGCTGCAGGTGCTGCTGCTGCAGGTTCTGCTGCTGTTGCTGCTGCTGCTGCTGCAGCAGCAGCAGCAGCAGGATGTATTGGAGACGAAGAAAGACACGGATGCCTGCGAATATACAGAGACAATAAAGGAGACAAGGAGGCATAAGAAGAAGGAGACAAATAAAAAAGGGACAGGATAGATAAAAAGGAGACAGTATATATAAAAGGGAGATAGGGAGGGGACAATATACATACATGAGGGTTTAATAATATTATTATTGCTGCTGCTGTTGCTGTTGCTGCTGCTGCTGTGCTGCTGGTTCTTGTCTCTTGCTCTGTAGTCTCCTTCTTAGGTCCCCTAATCGTGAATGGAGGGGTAGAGAGGAGGGGGGCCCCCTCTCTGGTGACCCTGAGGGGCCCCTACTGTCCCCACGGAAAGAGGAACCCCCATTCTCCTTATCTGCTGCACCTGCTGATGATGGTGCTGCTCCTCCTCCTTTGTCCGCAGGACCAGCAGCAGGAGAGCCAGCAGCAGCAGCAGCACGAGAAGACTCTGTAGAGCTCGCTCTATCGCCTGTATGCTCTTCGCTTAAAGACCTGCAGCAGCAGCAGCAGCAGCAGCAGCAGCAGCAGCAGCAGCAAACGTCAATTTATATACTCTATATAAGATGTATATATACTATATAACTATTGTCTACCCTCTACAGGGGGCCCCTCTTCTCTATCTGTGCATGCAGTACCCACCTGCTTTGGCTCTTATATCTATCAACAGCAGGGCCTGGGGGCCCCCGTTGCTGCTGGGGCCTCCTAGGTAGGGGATGGAGGCCCTTCCTCATAGGTCTTATGTCCCGTTCATAAGGACGGGGGCCACCTACCCCCATTGGTAGGGGCCCCCTTGCCCTCCAATCAACGTCCCTATCACGGAAGGCAAGACTAGATACAGGGGGCCCCCTTGGGTACGGAGCAAGCCCCACAGGGGACATCCGACGCCTGCAGATAGAGACACGAGCATGCATGCATGCATGCATTTATGCATGCATTTATGCATGCATATACGCATGCGCCTATCAGCAATAGCATGCGACCCATGCTCCTGCTGCTGCAGCGGAAGCACACGCCCACTCTCCAGACAGCAGCAGCAACAACAGCAGCAGCAACAGCAGCAGCAGCAAATAAGACTTACGGGAATCTCCTTGGTGGGGATCGTGAGGAGGATTCTGGGGATCGTCTCCAGGATCGAAGTTCCCCTCTCCTAGGGGACGGGGATCGTCTCCTTATATTTAATGAGGGACTCCTCCCTCTTTTTAAGGAAAGGGAATCCCCCATGGGGGGCCCCCTTCCTCTTGCTGGTGGTGATATAGATCGATCCCTACCTGCAGCTGAATATGCATGCGGTGGGGGGCCCCCACGACGAGGAGAGGGGCCCTTCATGTATGGTAGGGGGGCCCTGTTACCACGGGAAGAGGGGGAGGCACCAGGGGGGCCCCACTCAGGAGAAGGACGACCGGGGCCCCTAGGGGGCCCCCCAGGGGATCGTGATCTCCTCCTCCTTGGTGAAGGGGACAGTTGGTTACGTCTGTATGCAGGAGAAACAGAGCGGCTGCTGCTGCCGCGGGGGCCCCTACGGGGCCCACCTCTACTAACTACTGGTCTCCTTGGTGATGCCGGAGACTGTGAGGCCCCTTTTATTGACTGGGATCGTCTCCCCTGACTCCATGGGGATCGGGATCGTCTCCTCCTGGGGGGAGAAGCAGATGCAGATGCATCATGGTGGCGCTTAGGGGAGACACTACCCCTCCTCCTACCACGGAATGCTGCTGCTGCTGCTCCTGCTGCTGATCCTGCTGGTCCCATTGAATCGCGATCACGAGGCCCAACACTGCTGCGGGATCGGGATCGAGAGCGGGGGGGCCCCCTCATCCTGCCTGGTGGTGGTGGTGGTGGTGGTGGTGGTGGTGGGCCTCCACCACGGGAAGGGGATCGACTCTGGGATCGTATCCGTCTGTCTCCTGGAGACCTTGAGGATCGTCTGTGGGGTGACAAACGTCCCCCATGGTCCCCTGGGGATCGTCTATCTTGTATTGGGGATCGTCTATCTTGCATTGGGGATCGTCTCCTTGGGGACGGGGATCGCCCTCTAGGAGACGGGGATCGTCTTTGCTGCATTGGGGATCGTCTCCCCTGCATCGGGGATCGCCTCCTTGGGGACTGGGATCGTCTTGGTTGCATTGGGGATCGTCTCCTTGGAGATGGGGATCGTCCTCTCTCCTGAATTGGGGATCGTCTTTGCCCTGGGGAGAAGGAACGTCTCCTTGATGAGGATCGTCTCCTTGGTTGTGGGGATCGTCCCCTTGATGATGGGGATCGATCCCTTCTGTATGGGGATCGTCTCCTCATTGCCTGGGATCGTCTCTCTGGACTCCCTGCATGTGCCTTAGGTGACGGGGATCGTCTTGTGGGGCTCTGGGATCGATTTTTAATGCTGCGGGATCGTCTCCTCTGTCCTGGGGATCGTCTATCGGGAGACGTCTCCCCCCTCTCCTGCTGCGCCTCTGCTGTTGCTGCACTCCTTAGCTTCTCCTTAAGAACTGCTGCTGCACCAGGGGGGCCCCCGGGCCTCAATAGGGGCCTCCTTTCTTCTTTTGCTGCTGCTGCTGCTCCCCCCCTATCTTGTGAAGGAGACACAGAACGACTAGGGGCACTAGGAGAACGAGAGACACTCCTGCAACACACAAACAAGACATACACACCACGCTGCTGCTGCTGCTGCTGCTGCTGCTGGTGTAGCTGCTGCTGCTGCTGCTGTTGTTGTTGTTGTTGTGTTCGTGTGTGCTGCAGGGATGGGGCCCTACTTCTTTTTCTCCTTTTGCCTCCGCTCTTTGCTGCGACTACTGCGTCTGCTGCTGTTGCTGTTGCTCCGAGAGCGTCTGCCTTGCTGCTGCTGTTGCTGCTGCTGCTGCTGCTGCTGCTTGTCTGTGTCATTCTCTACGGCCGTCTTCTCTCCTTTCTCACGACGGAGACGCTTCTCAATTGCTTCCCGTGCTGCAGCTGAAGAACAGCAGCAGCAGCAAGAGGCCAGCAGCAACAAGATGGAGGAGAAGACAGATACATGCATGCATGCATGCATGCATGCATGCAAGAGAGAACAAGACAAAATAAAGGAGACAGTTACACCCGCAACATAAACAGCAGCAGGAGACAAACAGCAGCAGCAAAACATATATATGGCAGCAAAATGCAGCAGCAGCAGCAGCACAAGAGGGACAAACTGCAGCAGCAGCAGCAGCAGCAGCAGCAGGAGACAAAATACAGCAGCAAAGAAGCAACTGCAGCAAAAGGAGGAGACAAACTGCAGCACCAAGAGAGACACCCGACAAAAGCAAAAAGAGACAAAAAAGGAAAAAAAAAAGGAGAAAAGGAATAAATAATAAATATAAATAAATAAATAAATAAATAATATACCTATTCTTTTGTCTCTATTCTCTATAAATTCTTTTTGCTGCTCAGGAGACTGCAGCAGCTGCTGCTGCTGCTTAATTTGTGCTAATATAGGGGGAGCAGGGACCTCAAATAATACACCATCAGGGTCACGAAAGGAGACAAGAGATAATGATTTCTTTACCCTAAAGGAGACACATAATTAATTAAATAATTAATTAATTTATTTATTTATTTATTTATTTATTTATTATAATAATAAATATATAATAATAATAATAATAAAAAAAA